CAGCTCCCAAATCTGGAGGGCCGGCCACTGCGGGACACCTGGAGGTGCTGTCAACAAGGGAAACTGGCCGGGCCCCTCTGCTGCAGCCAGCTCAGCCTGAGCACCTGCTCTGCAGGAAGTAGAAGGGGACTTTGCTGGAAATCTGCCTTTAATCTTGGCTTCCTGTTTTCTGCCCTGGGGGACCGCCCAGACGTCTGAGTTTCAAGCTATTTCACACCAGCTTCTCTAAACTGTCATCTCACAGCAGAGAGGATGGGGGAGGGGAGGAGGCGGGACAGAGAGAGGAGAGGCCCTTCCCTCCCCAGGTGACCCTGGGAGCACAGTCCACCCTTAAAGGTGCTTCAGCACTGACTTCCAGCGACCAGCCCAACTCTGCCTGCAGCGAGCCTAGTTGGCTCCACCATCAAAATGCAGCCAGAAGTCCCGAGCTTCTTACCCATTCCCCACATCCAGCAGGTCTCCAGCCTCTCCTCTTTTTCTCTATTTCCCTAGGGCAGGACCCACCATGCCAGGGACGAGTGGCCCAGTCTTGGGAAGCTAGTGCTTGGTTTCAAATGCAAACTCGACATCTCCATGTACTATAGTTTGAATGTCCCCTGAAAACTCATATTGAAGCTTGATCTCCATTGTAACAGTGTTAAGACGGGAAATCTGACATATCTGAAAGGTGGGGCCTTTGGGAGGTGATTGGATCTTGAGGGCCCTGCCCTCACAATTGGATTAATCCATTCGTAGATTAATGGGTTATCACTGCAGTGGCACTAGTGGCTTTATAAGGAGGACAAGCAAGGACATCAGGATGCTCTTGTCCTGTTGACATGTGATGCCCTGTGACCACTCGGGACTCTGCAGAGAGTCCCCACCGGGAAGAAAGCCCTCCTCGGATGTGCTCCCTTGACCTGGGACTTCCAAGCCTCCAAAACCATAAGAAATAAATTTTGTTTCTTTATAAATTACCCAATTTCAGGTATTCTGTTAGAAACAACGTGAAACTAACACACCATAGTATCTCAAACTCAGTCTGTCCAAAATGGAGCTCTCGAGAGTTGCCCCCAGCCTGCCCCTCTCCCCAGGTTCTCCCGTCTCAGCAAACAGCACCACCTTTCCCTCAGGATCTCTGGTCACACCTGAGGAGTCTCCTCAGGATTTCAGAGTTTCTTCCTCCACACACAGCTCCTCATACAGAGCTGTCACTCTCCTCTGGGACCCTCCTTTGTCCATCCACTTCTCCTCTGTCCCACTGCTTCCAACAGGACGCACACCCACCATCACTGGTCTGGACCACGAAACGGCCTCCTCCCTGGCTTTTTTTTTTTTTCCTTTTTGTCTTTTTTCATGTCCGGCAAGGGATCGCAACCCTCGGAGCTGCGCCCGCACCTCGCTCAGCCAGTGAGCGGGAACCGGTCTGTATGTGGGATCCAAACCCTCGGCGGGAGCGCCACCACGCTCCCAAGCGGCGCACTACAGCAGTGCGCCACCGGGCCGGCCCAATGGCTTTTTGACCTTCACTCTCCATCATGCACATCCCCGCTTCCAATCTTTTAATGGCTCCCCATTGCT